TTGTATCATCAATTAATTGAAATATTGTAAAATAGTACAATTTGTTGACCAGAATAAAGATTGGGACATATTATTCAGTTACAACAAGAGTGGTATTGAGCCTTTAAAGATACAGTATATAGGATTTGAATAAAGTTCAAAAATAGATAAGTCAAATTGAAAAGGAATATAATTGAAAATTCTCATTCAAATGACTTCATTTTGAGCGAAGTTATCCCCGTTTGAAGTTTTGACAAGATGTGGCATTGATTGTTTATTATCGTAACAAGTTTACTTGTTATTCGAAAATACATAATTATTAAATGTTTATCGATCAAAACGTCTTACCTATCTCATCGCCTTAAACTAGAAGACTATGAATGCTGAAAATTGATTGAGAATGTTAACTGGGTTTAACATTATTTTACCATCATAATTTTAACAATATTTAATTTCGAGTACGACATTAGTATATACAATACTGATATAATGGATTTGATATTACCATCATGATCACATAATTAATTACAAGCTAGTTTCATTTCGTACCTTAATGAAAATATAATTTATCGCATAACAACGCCATTGTTTGTTTTTGTAAGGTGTTTGGAGTGATATTAAACCTAAAGTGCATTAATCTAATCAATCGTACAATAATTTCTAATAGCGTTTTATCCGTGATAGACAATAGTCACGCCACTTCATATAACATTGATCAACGACGATCTATTTTTTTTTTAATCTAATAAGGTGACGTAATTATTGACTATATCTATACTAATATTTGTGACTTTCGTTTGTCTGTCTGTCTGTTCGGGGTTGGCGGCTACACCAGGTCTGCCCCGAGTCTGAAATTTGGGGTATAGGGGTAGCTCGGACCGGGGAGTAACATAGGCCAGATGGCGTTAGTCTACCACTTTCGGTTTCGGGGTTATGAAACTTATTACAGCTTTAATAGCGACAGAAATGAAATGAAATGGAGTTTAACGTCCTACTGTTCTGCTTCGAACTGGGCTAATGAAGACGGGCATATAACGTCCTAATGTTCTGCTTCCAACTGGGCTGATGAAGACGGGCATACGCCATACAGTGTGCTATGAGGGGATGTATGTCTTTTTGGGCATGTCTTCGTAATATTACGGTAATCTTAACTGAAATGAAATGAAATGAGGTTTAACGTCCTACAGTTCTGATCCGACTGGGCTAATGAAGACGGACATGCATCATACAGTGTACTATGACGAATATTTTGCCCAGGCATCGGCACAAAGGCCTACTCTTATATCGAATTCCAACTGCCATGGGATCTGTTACGTGTACGCCAATGCATACAGGGGGCCTCGGTTTATCGTACAATTCGAACGACTAGACAGCTGTTATTGTGAAGCCCTCTATCCTGCACCGCTGACAAGGGGAAACCACGTCGGAAAGAAAATCCCGATGAATTTTCTCGGCCAATGCAGGGATGTAATCTTAACTATTTATATAGCATTTAGCATAATTAATTAGGGTGAACCCACAGCCGCTGCTTCTTTATTATCAGAAGCTCTATGAAATTAACTCAAACCATATCCACATGCATAAGTCATAAACATATCTTTAAAAGTTCACTGATTAAATAATTAAATATTGTAGTTCAACCGATTAAATTATAAGGGGGCGGCCCACCATTAACTGCATTAAGATAATACATTATTCCATACTTTTGTTATAGCTCGGCCATAATTGAATGTTTTTAGTCAGAACATTGGTATTATCTAATTCTATGTTGTGGGTAGGAGTTTTCAATGTTATGTTCGACTACTGCAGATATGTTGGCTTTCATGCACCTAGTTGCTACTTTAAGTTCTTTGGGTCTCGCATATAACGAGGCGGTACGGTGCGGGGCCGGGTAAATGGTTATCTCGTGCGCGCTGTGTGAGGGAGGGGGGGGGGTTGGATGGCCGAATGGTTAGCACGTGTGCGCTGTATCATAAGGTCTGTCATTGAGTCAACTGCGTGGTTTCGATTCCCCGGTTGTACGTAACAAGGATTAGAGTCGCTTGTGGGTTTTCTCCAGGCTCTCCGGTTTCCTCCCACTGCTACAGACCCTTACTCGCAAGCGAATTATTGAAATAAAATTGAACTATGTGTTAGTTCCGAAATAACAAAGTTTGTGTCAAGTGGACGTTAAACTCCATTTCTCTCTCTCGCCTATATACATTGATTTGCCACTACATTGGATCTAGTACACTATATCTTTAAAGTAGCCAATTCTCTAACTCAATAGGATCAAAAGTCGTCAACATTGAAACCACGAATTATTTGTCAATTCAAATCAACAATGATGCTGTGATTTTACCGGGAAAATGTGGGCTTCTGATACACGAATCGTGTACCATGGTGTATCAAGGGATTCGAAGAACAAGGCTAGACATATTCCACAAATCATGGCAAACGGTGACGCCATATTGTTATCTGGAGAGCAATAAATGCTATCGGTTTAAACTGGAATTACAGACGCTAGAGATTGCAATTCGATTGAGACATTACCATTCAATTAAGACTTTTGGCTTAATTAGCTGAACATAACTTATTTGAAATTACAGTACAAACAGAAACGATTGAATGTAAATCAGTTTATATACATTCATATTACATTATTATATGCATTTCGACCCATTTGTGTCAACTTTTAGGTCCCAAAGTTAGCTCGTGAACCTTAAAGGAGCTAAATTTGGTTGAACAGTGATTACTAAAGGTTACATTTTTTGATTTTATGACTTGTTGGGCTGGCTAGGTGGGTAAGACGCTGGCTCGCTAGCTAGCCTGGAGGTCGCGTGTTCGATTATCCGACGTGGTTTTCCCTTGTCAGTTGTGCAGAACGGAGTGCCTAACAAGGACAGCTGTCTAGTCGTTTGAATGGGACGAAAACTAAGGCCCCGTGTATACATTCGCGTGCACGTAAAATATCCCTTAGGAGTTGAACTTAGATATGTGTATGCCATAATGCCGCTGTCCGGGCAAACGTTTCTTCATGGCACACTGTATGCACGTCTTCATTAGCCCAGTCAGAGCAAAACAGTAGGGCGTTAACCACATTTCATTTCACACTGGGTAACATTTTATAAAACCAATACACAAGAATAAATGTGAGTGAGATATGCAGGTTGCATGATACACTCACAGACAAGGACCAAGATACGAAATAAACTGACATAAAGTTATGGGATATAGATCGATTTATGCTACTCTTATTATATCTAATATTTATTTCTTATATCTAATATTTTTTTTCGTTTGGTTAAATATTAATGGAGATACTTGAAAATAAATTACTGTTTGTACTATAAAAGCGTCATCAATATTTGTCATTCACGGGAAAATGTTTTAATGTTTTATCTTACGATTGATTTTATTACCTTTAATGGCCACTTAAGAAATGGTTTGTGATGTTTTTACTTTCCTATTAAAGATACATTATGGGAGATTAGATAAAGAGCTGACAGTTCTCACTATAATAGTTAAAAACTAGATATTGTAAAGGGAATTTGCTGAAAATTTAAGTTAAATTGATCTACTCTGAACCGAGATATCAGCTTTTGAATTTTCCACATAGCCTCGATCATCATTACTAAAGTCGGTACAATGAAATATATAGTCTCGGTTATCGATTTAAATCATGTACGAACGTTGAGCAGCTTATCGGATTCAAATCCAGTAAATATCGCAGGCTAGCGATGACATCGAGAGTTGATTATGGTCTGGATAAGTTAATTAATGTCTAATTACTAGGTTAGACAACATTCAGGCCTAAAGAAATGTATAAACTGTGTGTAGTGCCTGTGACGTCACCAGCCAATCAACCGGATTTCAAGTCGTAATTGAAAAATTGAAAAGTGTTTTGGCGTGTCGGATACTTTAACGTTAATCAGATTGGTGTTAACTCCACGTACACGAAATTTAGATTTCTCGTCTTATGTGGTCTTTAAGGTTATGGAGAGTATTGTAATTGTTTATGATAATTGAGAATGTTTCTTTAACAATATTACTTGCACCAAAAAGTAGTTCCTTTTTAATAAAATATGTAGTTCCTTTTTAATTGACCAATATAATTCACGTAAATTATCACACAAGCGATATCTACTGTAGAACGTGGTATTGGGTGATACATAGATCATATCCAAATTTTATAAAGAGAGAGAGAGAGTCAGGGTTTAACGTCCATTCGACACAATTTATTAAAAAGGAACGACTTTTTGGAGCGGGTAATATTGTTTGGGATAAGTTCTCAATTATCATTAACAATTAAAATACTCCCCGTAACCCTAAAGGAAACACTAGGTCAATATAAAGGACTTTCCAACGGGTGACTTGCTGTCAAAAAAGATGTATCACGACGTCGGTAAAGTAATCAGGTTCATTAAAATTAAATCTATAGAAAAGAATTATATTTACTTATTTGTGCGCGTAAGAAAGGGTTTGATGATAAATAAAATCTCCTACTCGTCTTTTTAGATATCAAAAAATATCATCACTCGTGGATAAAGTTAAAAAACTCGGCAAAGCCTTTTTTTTTACTTTATCGATATGTTGATATTTTTGATATAAAAAAACGACTGAGAGATTCACTAAATATATGCAACGAGTATTCAATTAGTCACGATGTCGAATTGGAAATGGCATCGTTTATAGCTTATCTAGTTACACACTATTTAATACTGTATAATTGACTAAATACTTTAAATACGTACTAAATTGTTAAGTAGTGATGCTTTGTATCATTAAACAACATAAAGTTTCAAATGTCAATTTATCGACCCATATGGCAATTATTCGGTCCATATGTCAATTGATCGACTCAGTGGTGTAAATGTTTAAAGTGTTGTATTATTTAGCAAGGGTCCTTGGGTAATTACAGGTGCGATTATTCTCCAATGTAAATATTGATTTACGATTCCTTAATACAAACATGCGTAAAGTTACAGAGGTGTATTTACTCATCCCCAATCCTCCGAGTTGTAATTTATTTATCTACTTACCTATTGGTATTTTGTCGATACAACAAACTTCTTCATCTGTTTTCCCATCACAATCGTTATCTATAAGATCTCCTGGTATGGACAAGCTGTTGACACAGGCCTAAAACATACAGTAACAAATTCATGGTATTTTAAATTACGTCACTTTACCTTATGGTATTTTAATTTAGGCTGTCTTAGCTTACAGTATTTTAATTCACTTTACATTCGGTGTAGAAATTATTTAGATAGGGAAGATGGTAATCAACGAACGTGGTAATATTATTTAGATAGGAGAGATGGTAAACATCAAATGTGGTAATATTATTTAGATAGCGGAGATGGTAAAAGGGTGGTAATATTGTTAAGATAGGGGAGATGGTAAACTGTACATTGGTAATATTATTTAGATTGGCGAGATGGTAAAGAACACATATGTGGTAATATTACCTTGATTGGGGAGATGGTAAACAGCAAAAATGGTCATTTTAATTAGATAACGGAGATGGTAAACAACAACTGTGGTAATATTATGTAGATAGGGGAGATCGAAAGCTACAACCAATAATGGCAACAAGGCGAGATGCAACACACGTGGTGACATTGTTTAGATTGTCTGCCACGTTCATAAAATGTTATAATTACCGGAATATTGGTCGTCTCTTGGAATGTCAGACCAAATGAATAGCCTTCACAACTGGTCATTCCTTGAATATATGCCAAATACTTCCCGCCATTGCCATTTGAAATTTTTTGTGAAGCTGCCAATGACGTGGTAATCAAGACTTCTCCAACCACAAGACTTGATTTACCAGTCACTTCCGTCCAAGTAGTTGTGATTGTTTGGTTGTTGAGACGTAAGCCAGAAACATCCGAACTATTAATCACTATTGTAACATAAACTTTGAAACCGGAATAGCTAAAGACCGAAAACGTGTAGAAGTCGCGTGCTGCTTGGAGTGGTGCCAGTATCATCATAGAAGGATCGCCGGATCTATATGTGTTATTATAGTTAGAAGTGCTGAGCTGTGCTACTAGAACTGGTTTAGACGATTGAATGAAATAAAAATTATTTGGTTCTATAACAGATTCAAAATAATCTCCAGTTTTATTTAAAATGATTATATCCGTTCCCATTTCAACTCTGGTTGCTACTTGGGTTGCTACGATACGGTATACCGTTGGTTCTGTGTACTGTGGCTCCGTCACTGTGACGTATTGGTTGCCAAGACGACGAACAGGTGGAAGTGTGTCCATTACGTGACTTCTACATGACTCCTGATAGATTGAGGTACGGTTTACGCCACTTAGGACAGAAATCGGTTTGTCTGAAACAATATAGGTACCGGTTAGATCGTCGCCTACCTGTAACTGTAAAACCTGATAGGCTGAAAGTGTTACCACAATGGTTTCTTCTGAACTATAAAGACGGCCATCAAACATGACACTTACAACATTCCTAAATTCTGGAACACGAATTGTGATCTTGCTATCGTTAAATGGAGCCGTGATAACAATAAACGATGCAGATTGAATAACGCGCATATAATAGTTTACTGACAAATATACCTGACCGAGTAGCGGCATCGGCAACGCCAAATAAGCATCTCCGTTTGACGCCTGCTTGCTGAACACCACCACAGTAATATCCCCGGTACTAACAACTTGTACACATCGCGTATCAATAACATTTCCTGTAGGCATGCGTATGTCCGCAGAAAGTGGTATGACGAATCTTTCATCTGGGGCTAAGTTGAATGTCGTATTTTCTGGTTGTACGAAAGTATCTGGTGCATGAAATGTCAGATCCACTTGTACATCAGTTGTTGCAAGACATGTCATTACAATTTCAACTTTTTCATTGTTGTTGCCATTGTAATTCTGAGGGAATGACAGTAGAAACTCACGACCAGGATACGATTTGCTTCCTGAAAATAAACAAATATCATAATGATTTTCAACAACCAATATCATGATAACTGTCAACAAGCATAATAATTGTCAACAACCAATCAACAACCAATATCATTATAATTTTTAACAACGAATATAATAATGATCAACAACCAATATCATAATTCTCAACAACCATATCATAATAATTGTCAACAACCATTTCATAATAATTGTCAACAACCATATAATATAATTGCCAACAACAAATATCACAATAATTGTCAACAACCATATAATATAAATGTCAACAACCAATATCATAATGATTGTCAACAACCATATAATATAAATGTCAACTGCCAATATCCTAATAATAGTCAACCATATAATATAATTGTCAACAACCAATATCCTAATAATTGACAACAACCATATAATATAATTGTCAACAACTAATATAATAACTGTCAACAACTAATATCATAACAAATTGTCAACCAATATAATAATTGTTAACCAATATAATAATTGTTAACCAATATAATAATTATCAACAACCAATATCATAATAATTGTCAACAACCAGTAGCATAACAAATTGTCAACCAATATCATAATTTCATAGTGCATGTTTTCACTGTTTTCTCAAACATTTTGATTGTTTCAGATATTAAACTTTACACAAAGTTTAGAGTGGTAGTCAGTGACCGTCGACGTTTAAGATTTTGAGGTAATTAGTTTTTTCACTTATTTAAAAGTCGTATCGTGCATTTAGCTAAAGTCGTTGAACAGTCACTAGCTGACAACCGTTGGCTAATCCTACTTGGCCACTAATTGTTTCATTCGGTCCTGTCTCCGCGGTTTAAAATAACAAACTTTAAACTATTGAGTTATCACAAGTTTGTCTGTCTGTTCAGGGTTGTCCCGAGGCTGAAATTTGGTCTACTAGTGCAGCTCGGACCGAGGCGTACACGTAATAGAACCTATGGCAGTTAGAATTCTGAATAACAGTAGGTCGTAGCGCCGCTTCCCGGGCCAAATTCCCCTAATAGCACACTGTATATCGTATCTCCGTCTTCATTGGACCAGTCGAGGCAAACAATTTCATTTCAATTATATTGTTTTGGGGACACTTATGAATCAAATATCTAAGTTGGAATAAATTATGTTGAATGGCTTCGTGTGATTTCCAAACAATATAATCGTCCAAGATTGTCTCACTATAAATACCAGTTATCAGGTTTAAAAACGTGCAAATAGATTAGAACTGTATATTATTGAAAAAAACATTTGTCTAAAAATAATTATTGTTGTGTATTTTAACACAACTCTGTTAACTCATTTTTTGTCTCAAACCTTATGATTCCCCTCGCTACAAGGAACAAATACACGTCCAAACATACAATTAAAACAATGTTATTTTCTGACACATTTTCTGATTATCCATTAAAACAAATCCGTACTTTCGAAGACAGTGCAAATGTCCTTCAACTTATACAGACATCACTCCGCGTTCAAGACGTTTTTGGCTCAAGTTTATAATTTGCTTTAATATGTGCATATACATTACAAATTGTTGCTGAAGTGTTAACTTATGTAATTTTAATTGGTCGTGTCGTACTATTGCGATTCGCTGCAGCGGCCTCCAAATGTCAACAATTTAGAAAGTTTACAAAAACAAACGTCAGGTTGGTATGTTATTCTGAATAGACGCATTGCATAAAACTTGCCAAATGTTTTATTGTACATTTGCGACCACGTCTCCAACTTTACCTGAGCAATAAGGCCCCTTCCCAAACACAGAATTTAACCCAGGAAATGTTCTCAAAAACGCAACCAGACTTCTGAGATGGTAATGTGTTCTCCATGATTTTCATGTAACTTATGCTGTACGTGCTGTTCACCGGGACCAGCCCTATAAAATGCACCCCTATACCTGGTTAAATCATTCACACTACAACGTCAGCAGCACGCCACGACTCACGACAGCTCAGAGGAACCAGGCGTTTAGAAGACTCGACGCTGGCCATACTGCCCAAGCCGTTGCCAATCACGTCTATGTCAATGTTCGGACCATCTACAGGCATTTAGCAACGATTTCGGGCCAGCAACACCACGGATGAACGCCACCGAACTGGTAGACCAAGGGCTACCACAAGGCGACAAGACCGCCATGTTGTGCGACAGCACGTGCAGAATCCCTTCACACAGGCATCTGAGACAGCACGCAATAGAGAACTGTTCTGTTCACAGATGAGAGTCGGTATTGCATATCAACTGCAGATGGCAGGACCAGAATATGGCGTCGATGTGGCCAGCGTTATTCTGACCAATGTGTCATGGAACGAGACTCATGGGGGAGGGGGAGGGTAAGCATCATGGTTTGGGATGGAATCGGCCAGAGAGTGGGTCTTGTGGTGTTTCAAAATCTTGGTCCAGGGAGAAGAGGCAGCATCACAGCAGTGCGCTACATCGATACAGCTCTCAGACCCCACGTCATACCACATTTCGAATGTCATCGAAACAAAGTTTTTCAGCATGACGACGCCCGTTCCCACACCACCAGAGTTACCCGGGACTTTCTACAGCAGAACAGTGTCAACGATATGCACTGGCCAGCCCTTAGTCAGGACTTAAAGCCGATTGAACATCTTTGGGATGAAATTCAGAGGAGACTTCATAACGTCGTACCGAGACCAAACACAGCCGATAGATTGTGCCAGGCTTTCCTGAGAATATGGTTCCAGGTGCCAATACATGTACATGTACAGACGCTTCACTGCTGTTATTAACACTCGTGGCGGACACACCAGATACTAATGTATAGACTGGGTCCAGACTCTAAACCTTCTCGTAATGTCTTGGAATTGTGATGAATTAATCACTAATGTGTCAACATACTGTTCACAAAAAAATTGCTTTGATTTTTACCCATTTAGTAAGTCGTTTTCTAGAATGATTTGAATAAAGTGCCTCTCTGATTTTGAAATCGTACTGACGTTTTTTGGGTTTTTTTTAGTATATTTAGAGAGGAATAGGTTGCAAGGAGAAAATTTAAAAGGTATTGTGGCATCATGTAGCAAAAAACATAATCCTCGAAGTTACAGTTCGATATGCACGAATATCGAAAGGAATCATATTTTAAGTTTCATCAAAATCGAATAAACATTATGACCTCTAGAGGTTCCACAACCTTGATATTACATACTTTAACGCCATTGTTCTTACTCGGATAAAAATTGTGACATCTAGAGGGACCACAATCGAAAAACGCGAATTATGGTACAATCATTGACCATAATCCAGGAAGTTACAGTCCGATATGCGCGATAGTTCCGATAGGAACCAAGATCTTTGGTGTATAAAAATATATTAGGTTCCATTAAAATTGAATCAACATTGTGACCTCTAGAGAATTCATAAGTTTGATACTACGTACTTTAAAATAAAGACTATTTGCGAACTGGGAGCGGCCATTTTGTTCGGCATTTTCGTTCCAATTCTCACGCAATTCGAACTCAGTGCTCTTTATGGTGTAACCGTGATGTATTCGAATGGTTTTTGTAAATCGGATACAATTTGTGACCTCTGGAGCGAACACAATCTAAAAACGCACATTTTCGTACAATTAAGGGCCACAATCCATGAAGTTGCATTCATTTAAAGTTTCATCAAAATTGGATAAAAATTGTGACATCTAGAGTGCCGACAAGCTAATAGCGTGATTTTTCGATCATAATCCATGAAGTTGCATTCATTTAAAGTTTCATCAAAATCGGATAAAAATTGTGACATCTAGTGTGCCGACAAGCTAATAGCGTGATTTTTCGATCATAATCCATGAAGTTGCGGTCCGATACATGCCAGTTTCAAATGGAACCGAGATCTGTGGAATATAAACCTATATTTCAAGTTTCGTCGAAATCGGATAAGAGGCGACGACAATATACGTCCACACGGAAATAAAAATTTAGAGCTGTTATAACATATATTTGATGTCATCTCAGAAATATGAAGGCTAATGTAGCATAGTATGTTAAATGCAGTAGCTTCGTGTACCTTGAATCGTAGGAGCAATATTGCTGTTCACTTTATCACTAGCGGTACCAATACATCTGCGGTGTAAGTAGTCTATGAAACAAAATAACCTTTTGTGGGGAACCCCCACGCAGCCCAAATTTGTTCTACTAAAAGTTGAATGTGCGTGCTTCAGTCACTAGTTCCGAACTGATTTCTAGTTA